TCTATATGTGTGTGTGTATGTGTGTGTGTGTGTGTGTGTGTGTGTGTGTGTGTGTGTGTGTGTGTGAAATAAAATAAAACAAATCTTGTTTTCCCTTTGAATTAAGTTTACTTTTCTTACTTCATGGCAGATATTTTTTCTTGTTTTTAACATAAACTCACTTAATTTTTATAAATTTTTCAGACATGACGTAATATCTTAAGTCTTTTTGCATTCTTAAGTTAAGTGTATCTTGATTAAAGCATGTTTAGATATTTTTACTGGAAAACATACTAAGTAGGAAAAAATAATTTCTGTGTAGGTCATGTGACAAGTTTAACATGCATATCTGCACGGTGTAGTGACATGGATAAAGCAGATGTTTGATCTGACACAAGAGTCCAGGCTTCAGAGCGCTGAGGGAGAGCTGTTTTGTTCTGAGAGACTGTGGGAGGCGCTCCACGCGGGAAGGAAAGATTGATGGGATCAGAGCCTCAGAACAGTCGAGGGGAGCTTGTAGGTGTCTGTCAATGCTACCGTTCACAGTGGCACACACGCAAACTCTCCACATCTCCTGGACTCCACACACAAACATAAACATACAGCCTATCAATAACCAACACACGGTGACATGCGTCTGTCAGCGTTATATAACGTGAGGGATGTTTGTGGAGTGAAGGATGAAAAGGTTTCAGTCCTTTCTTCAATGATTTTTGACTCTTCATCAGAGTTTATGGCTCATACATGTATCACACAACAGGCAAAAAGAAACCTAAATCTTAATTTGTAATTGTAACATTAGGTCAAGAAAACTTTAAACATAGTGACTAAGCAAAAACCTTGGTTTTAGATGGTTTAAACAAAGCATGTTACGCTGCAGCACGTCAAATTCCCAAAGTACACTACCGTTCAAAAGGTTTGTGTTGCTAGGAGTTTTTAGAAGAAGTGTCTTATACTCACCAAAACTGCATTTATTTTATCAAAAATGCAGTAATATTGTGAAATATTACAATTTGAAATGACTATTTCAAAATGTTTTCTATTTAAATATATGTTAAAATGTTATTTATTTCTGTGATACAAAGCTGATTTTTCAGCATCATTACTCCAGTCTTCAGTGTCACATGATACGTCAGAAATATTTCTGATATGCTGATTTGGTGCTCAAGAAACCATTCTTATTATTATCAATGTTGAAAACCGTTGTGCTGCTAAATATTTTTGTGGAAACGGTGATGTGTGTGTGTGCGTGTGTGTGTGTTCTGGTATATATGATTTATGAGGACACAAATGTGTATAATGACATGGGTATTACAACGTAACCCAGTACAACAGTCTCACGTCCATATGTCCAAAATTTTGCAGCAGCCATGTTGTAGTTTAGCTCAATCTGCAGTGTGATAACCATTAAAATAGTAATACTGCTATTGTAACTACATTTCAAGTTGATTAATTTTCAGGAAAAATCTACTTAGCCTGAGCAATGCAGTGTGTGTGTGTGTGTGTGTGTGTGTGTGTGTGTGTGTGTGCACGCGCACCGGTTTGGGTGGTTTATGAGGACACAATTGTGAATAATGACATGGGTATGACATAGGTTTTACAATGTGAAGGTGGTTTATGAGGACACTTCCTGTGTCCCTGTAATTCAGAAGGGTTAAAAAATACTAAATTGTGTTTTTTGAAAATCTTAAAATGCACAAAGTTTTCTGTGAGGGGTAGGTTTAGGTGTAGGGTGAGAGAAAATGCAGTTTGTACAGTATAAAAACCATTACGCCTATGGAGAGTTCCGTGTGTGTGTGTGTCTATAAATCTAGGCCATTTCCATTGATTTCCTCTTTGTAACTGTACTGTAGGCTTTATCCAATTTGTAGTTTGCTCCTTACTTGAACCCACATGCTGAAAAGTCAAGCTCTGCTACTTCCAGGTAGTCACTGGTTCTGTGTACAACAACCTTCACAGAGCCACACACATGCCCTAACACAAATAACATGACACACAGACCTGCCATACTTACAGGAGCTCACAACTCCATCAGGAAGAACTCTCTCGTCAGATAGTTGTGTCGGGAGAACAGTGCTCTCTACTGGCCATATAAGTCCTCACACCTCAAAACTAATCACTCCCATGTCAATCAAGCATCTGTCATAACAATCACACTGGAGTTTACAAAGTGAATGTTGTAATGCTGTCAATACAAGTTTTATAATTAGTACTTATTTATATTTCTAAGTAATTGTGTGCAGCCTACTGCTTTAGGTTTCACTGTCAGTTGAGTTTGTGGTTGCCAAAGATGTCCATAATGAAATGCTTTGACTATCATGTTCCTCAAATCAGCGTAAAACACGGGTTTTTGAAATAATCGCAGATTGCACATTTTCCTCACTGTGACGTCTGTTTGAAGTGTGTTTTTATTTAGACTATACATTTTATTATATATTTTACTGTATTTTTAGGCTCAGTAAGATTTTTTTTTTCAGCAAAGTTGCATCAAATTGATTAAAAGTGACAGTAAATACTTTTTTTTCTTTCTTTTTTTACTACAAAAATATTATATTTAAAATAAATACTTTTCTTTTTAACTGTCTTATTCATTAAAGAATCACTGTTTCCACACACAAAAAAATAAAAATAAAATTTGATATTTTCAACACTGATAATAGTAAGAAATGTTTATTGAGCAGCACATCATATATTAGAATGATTTCTGACGTATCATGTGACACTAAAGCCTGGATTAATGATGCTGAAAATTCAGCTTTGACATTACAGGAATAAATTACATTTAAAAAAAATATCCAAATGGAAAAGTCATTTTAAATATTTCAATATTTAAAATAATATTTCACAATATTACTTTTTTGACTGCATTTGTCACCAAATAAATGCAGCCTTGGTGAGCCTAATAGAGTTTTTTTTTTTAAACAAACAAAAAATCGTACAGACTTTTGAACTGTAGTGTGTGTGTATGGATAGATAGATAGATAGATAGATAGATAGATAGATAGATCTTCTCCCTGACTCTCCTCCTGAACTACCACACACAGTCTATCCTCTGTTTTCCAATTCTTTTTTTTTTCGCTAACAACCTCTCCTCATCTATCTCTCCCTTCCCTCCCTCTTTTCCATCTTTCTCTTCCTTTGCTTTCTCTGTTCAACAGTGTTTCCTTCCGCAGAGTCCGCTCATGTACAAGGATCAGATGCAGCAGGATGTCATCATGGTGCTGAAGTTTCCCTCCAACTCTCCTGTCACTCACGTGGCCGCTAACACGCTGCCGCACCTGACCCTCCCCGCCGTCGTCACCATCACCTGCAGCCGGCTCTTCGCTGTCAACCGCTGGCATAACACCGTGGGTGAGTGGGAATCTCTGTGTATACTACATACTATTTAACCAGCTAATAGCTTGATTTCACCTGCAAACACAAACATGCACACTCCAACAAAAAACAGCTACACTCCACATGTTACCACTTGGCCATGTGTGAACAACATTACCCAACTAGCCTTTCCCCAGAGCCCCCCTCACCTGCGGGTCAGAGGTCGGGCTCAGTGGCCTAAGGTAAATTAGCCTATCACGGCCTTTCCTTTCGCATCGCACCTCCCCAGCTGTCACGGCAACACATAGTGATGTCAGGACCAAACGTGACAACTTCACTCTCTCACACTACTAATGGCTGCAGCTGCAGGGCCAGCCCTCTCCGGCCATATGTGTGTGTGTCGCTCCCACAAAATAATGAGGCCGCCACACTGTCTTTGCTCTGTAGGCCTGCCTCAGGGGTGCTATAGCTCTGGCCTGCCTGACACAGGAGAGAGAGAGAAATCAATAAGCACCATGGAGATCTGACTGGTGGGTCTCCATAAAGACCCCATGTCATATGGGACGGGGTCAGGAAGTGGACTTGACTGTGGCGGCAGGGCAGGTGTCTGTAGGAAGACTTTTATTTCTAAGGAAAATAATTTTATTTCTCAGTATTTTTGTCTTGCTTTCCAGTACAAATATCTAATCAAGATGCATTTCCTTGAGAAGCAAAAGGACTCTTCTCTTGTTTTTTCTGTTGTTTTTTCTTCTGGAAAAAAAGTATGCAAAAATGTATCAAAATTAAGCAGCTTTATGCTTAAAACAAGGGTGAAAAAAGTCTGCCAATAGAGTAAGAGAAATCATTTTTCCTTATAAATTTTTCTTACCCCATTGGCAGATATTTTTTCTTGTTTTTAAGCAAGAAAGAAAACAAGACTTAATATCATTAGTAATTTTGCTTCTCAAGTAAATGTATGTTTAGATGTTTTTACTAGAGTACAAGACAAATATGATGATATTTTTTTTTATTGATTTTTTTTTTACAGTGTGTGTGTTTTTGAACAGGTACTGAACAATGTGTTTCTGATTTCTTTTATTGTCTGTGTGTGTGTAGGTCTTCGAGGAGCTCCAGGATATTCACTAGAGCAGGCCCATCACCTCCCCATTGAGATGGACTCACTTATTGGTGGGTTTGAGGTTTTTTGTTGTTAAAATACTTTCTTCTATTCCATTCGTAACTAATTTAAGTAATCTGTTTGCACAGCAGGTTTCTCTGAAAAGTGTGACACTGTGGCTCTGTGGTGCTTTGAAAATATTGCTCTGTTTTATATCCCAACTTATTCGACACAGCAACATTGTTTCAACTGATAGCATGAGTTTGTAGTGGGACTATTCATTTATCCATTCAATAGCAGATGTGGAGAGTGTCATCATATATACAATATTTGTGATAAAGTGACACAAAAATTACATGCTTTAGCTTTAGTAAAGAAGGTAAACACTGAACTTGCATATTTATTAGGGGAAAAAAACTCTTTATCATCTCCAAAACTTTGGAACTGTAGTTTGAATATTTTAATAAATTAGACTTTTATTTTTTTGTAAGTTGAATGATTTCAAAACTCTGTAAACATGTCTCTTCCAGCTAACAACTCGGGCACAAACAAACGACAAATCACTGACCTGGTTGACCAGAGCATTCAGATCAACACTCAGTGTTTTGTGGTGACGGCTGATAACCGCTACATCCTGGTATGTGGTTTCTGGGACAAGAGTTTCCGTGTTTACTCTTCAGACACGGGTAAGAGACGCTCATTAGACATTAAGGGAATTATTCACCCAAAATGTTACATTTTGTCATTATTTACTCACGTTGAATCAAAGTATCCTGAAGGTAGTCCATATGACTTGTATGTTGTACTTTTGAAGCCGTACAACACCCAGGTTAGAGTCAGCGAGCTGAACTCTGAATTGCGAATGAATCAGTTAGATTGGTTATTTGAACTGAGTCAACTGATTCATTAATGTGAACACAAAATAATTTGTTCAAAAATCCATTTCTCTCTAGAACTTTCTTGAAACATCATTTGGCTTCAGAAGACTCTTGTAGTTTGATACTTTTTTTTTTTTTAATGAGTGACCAAGATATTAATGTTTATTGGTCTAACCAACATATTTGTGACCCTGGACCACAAAACCAGTCATAAAGGTCAATTTTTCGAAATTGAGATTTATACATCATCTGAAAGCTGAATAAATACGCTTTCCATTGATGTATGGTTTGTGATACACTGAGATTGGCCGAGATACAACTATTTGAAAATCTGGAATCTGAGGGTGCAAAAAAATCAAAATATTGAGAAAATCGCCTTTAAAGTTGTCCAAATAAAGTTCTTAGCAATGCATATTACTGATCAAAAATTCAGTTTTAATATATTTACAGTAAGAAATTTACAAAATATCTTCATGGAACGTGATCTTTACTAATTATATCCTAATGATCTTTGGCATAAAAGAAAAATCTATAATTTTGACCCATACAATGTATTTTTAGCTATTGCTACAAATATACCCCAGCGACTTAAGACTGGTTTTGTGGTCCAGGGTCACATTTGTGCTTTGAAGTGTGAGGGACAAAAAGAACGTATGTTTGTTTGCAGGCAAGCTCACTCAGATTGTGTTCGGTCACTGGGACGTGGTCACATGTCTGGCACGCTCCGAGTCTTACATCGGTGGTGACTGCTACATTGTGTCGGGATCCAGAGATGCCACTCTGTTGCTGTGGTACTGGAGTGGGCGACACCATATCATTGGAGACAACCCTAACAACAGTGAGTAGAAACTAAACCTGAAGGAATAGTTCACCCAAAAATGAAAATGTACTCACCCTCAGGCCATCCAAGATGTACATGAATTTGTTTCTTCATCGGAACAGATTTGGAGAAATGTAACATTACATCACTTGTTCATCAATGTATCCTCTGCAGTGAATGGGTGCCGTCAGAATGAGAGTCCAAACAGATAATAAAACATCACAATAATCCACAACATGACTTCAATACAGCAATAACATCTTGTGATGCAAAAAGCTGCTTGTTTGTAATAAACAAATCCATCATTAGGATGTTTTTAACTTCAAATTGTTGCTTCTGGCTAAAATATGAGTCATTTTATTATTGGGTGAACTATTCCTTTAAGCGCAATTACCTCAATATTAAGCATACTACATTATACAATCATGCAAGAATAGACATTAATATTAGATGTTACATTAATAATGGAGGAGATTATAGAAGCTCAAACACTAGGCAACATAATATTATTATTATTTTTTTTTTTTATCCTCTGCAGTGAATGGGTGCCGTCAGAATGAGAGTCCAAACAGATAATAAAACATCACAATAATCCACAACATGACTTCAATACAGCAATAACATCTTGTGATGCAAAACCGATCTTGTTTGTAATAAACAAATCCATCATTAGGATGTTTTTAACTTCAAATTGTTGCTTCTGGCTAAAATATGAGTCATTTTATTATTGGGTGAACTATTCCTTTAAGCGCAATTACCTCAATATTAAGCATACTACATTATACAATCATGCAAGAATAGACATTAATATTAGATGTTACATTAATAATGGAGGAGATTATAGAAGCTCAAACACTAGGCAACATAATATTATTATTATTTTTTTTTTTTTCATTTTTATATTAACTTCTGTACTAACAAAAGCTATTATTGCATAACAAATGAATGCATTACAGCTCCTAATTGTTCCAGGATCCCTTGCTACAGAAACCAGAAAGCTGTTTTTTTGTAACATGAGCTGCAAACATGTTAATAAGAAAACAAGTCTGCACGTCTGAGCTTGCTCTTGTGTGCGTTTTGCAAAGATGTGTGTCCTTTTGCTCCGTTGATGTGTATTAGATGTGTTGTCCTTTTTTTCAGCATGTCATGAGCTGTGGTTTAGGTGAGCGTGTTCTCTAATTAACTTCAGTGATGCTCAGACAGTTAATTAAGGATTTCAGCTCGACTGCCTCCAATTAGCGAGGCTCCTGTTTTTAAAGCACAGGGAACAAAACTCCCATGATATTCACACACAACTGCTTACTGTGTGCCCTCACAAAGGAGACGAATGGTCTGTATGCTTGAAACTGGAGGGAATTATGAACAAAGAACTATTTATATATAACCAGGAATAAACCTAACATTGTTAACTTTATCAAGCTCATGGTACACCAATCTAGTACCAATCTGGTGTCATTATGTCATGCAATGTAATAATGTCATAATTTCAGCTGCACTTAATTGCAGTCATTTCTGAGTAATACTAATGAACACTATTTATATGTAATTATTTCTTGGAACAGCTTAATAGTAATAATAATAATAATTTAAGATTTTTAATTTAAAAAAGAATTGTCCATGTCCAAAATTCAAATGGATGAAAATGTTGAGCCCTGTCCTCTAAGAAATGAACAGTGCCCTCTAGTGGTATATTTCAGAACAATTTTTGGGAGCACAATAAGGTTCAAAATAAGTTCAATAAGGTTCGAAATAAATTTACGAAAAAAACTAACTTAGCGAATAAATTGTAAAATACTGATATATATTAATTTTCACTATTTTTTATTGAATTTTTAACAGTTTTGTACTGTTTTAAATCATCTTTAAAATGCTGGTTGATCTTATTTCGTATTTATTTTATTATTTTATTATTATTTCATCTGTATTTCAACAGAAACTTATTGTAAAGTCTTTTTCTTTTCTTTTCTTTTCTTTATTTTGATCTTATGTTTTCATAAGCATGCAGTATATAACTGTTTTTGCAGGAAATATACTTTGACCTGAGGCAAAACTTTCACAGTTACACACACGTACACACTCCATAAACCTAATTCTGGTGTTAGTATATGATCTAAAGGGGAATGCACCCATTTAATGCAAAAGTATTTTATTTTCCCTCATTATATATTCCAGACTTATACCCAAAATTATTTGAGGTTGTTAAAACGATATCAGTGTAGCAGTAAAGAAAAACAAACCCTCATTAGCGTGTGTTTTTGTGTCAATGATAAGTTCAGCTGTGCTTCATCAAGCTTCCCCACACTGCACTTTTTTCATCTGTCTCTCAATGGAGAGTGTCAGGACAGGAACATCCATGAATATTCAGCAGATATCCCAGTACCGGCCCCTGAGGCACTCCGACATGGTGTAGAAATTGATTTCACAGTTGCCCGAGAAAGCCGGAGTGTGTCTTAAATGTGCAATGATTAAAATCCCGTCCGGCTCAATCAAGGCCCCGGTGCTTCACGACCCCAGCAGCCGCTCTCCAATTTACACCTCTTAATTGTGTCGCTGTACCGCTGGGGTTTAGTGCGAGGGTTTAGAAGGGCCCGGGTGCGGACTGATTAAATCTATTGTGATGAAGGTGATCTGGGATCTCCCGAGGGATCCAGTGCTGACACACGTCCCCACCCTGATCACTGACAGCTGGGCTTAGCGCTGTCAGACGGGCCCCTGTGGAGAACTCGGTGAACACGGGCCCATATTGATCAAGGCCTGAGTAACCTTTGATTGCTCGCCAACTTAAAAAAAAAACATCTGGATTTGTAGCGGTCATTCTATTGATTCCTGGCTTCATTTAATGGTGCTCTACATGCAAAGTAATGGCATATGTCTTTATTATGTGGATGTTAATGAACTTAGTGTTAGTGTTAGATCTCAATTAATGGGATGAACCTTCTCCCAGTACTACATTATTAGCTTTTGTTTTATAAATCCCTCTGCCTGTACATGGACAGCGCGTTATGTTTGATGCAGTACAGATTAAAACATACAATGTGGCCACTTAAAATCAGGAATTTATCATCAGAGAACAACTTTATGGTTTATTTAAGTTATTAAAGAAATGATCAGAGATTCAGTGTAATTTAAAGGAATTATATATAAAATATAGGACGTGCCAAAACTGTAGGATTTTCTTTCAATATTGGTCGCTCTTTAACATTCAGTTGCAATGAATCAGGACTTCCAGGCTTCATAAAGAACCTGAAAGCACCATAAAAGTAGCTCAGACATCTTCTGAAGTTATATGGTGACTTTTTGTGCAGAACAGACTGAAATTTGAGCCTTATTCACTGAAAATATTGACATTTTGACATCAGCTCAGCTCACCAAACGACCCAGTTCACTAAACCTGAATGATTTGTTCATGAATCAGCCTGATCAAATTCTCAAGTTTAACTCACTGACTCAGTGATCTGATGTCAACATTTAACAGATCACTGGACATACACTACGTTCAAAAGTTTAGGGTCAATAAAAATGTTTTTTTTTTTAAAGAAATTAGTATATTTTTTATTCAGCAAGGTTGCATTAAATTGGTCAAAAGTGACAGTAAAGACATTTATAATGTTGCAGAATGTTTTAATTTGATATAAATGCTTTTCTTTTTCTATTCATCAAAGAATCATGGGAAAAAAAGTATCATGATTTCCACAAAAATATTAACCAGTGCAACTGTTGCCAAAAAGAAATGTTTCTTGAGCAGCAAATCAGCATATTTGAATGATTTCTGAAGTATCATGTGACACTGAAGACTGGAGTATTGATGCTGAAAATTCAGCTTTGACATCACAGGAATAAATTACATTTTAAAATATATTCAAATAGAAAACAGTTATTTTAAATTGTAATAATATTTCATAATATTTTTATCTATTTTTGATCAAATAAATGCAGCCTTGGTGAGCATAAGAGACTTCTTTCCAAAATAATAAAAAATCTAACCGACCCCAAACTTTTGAACAGTACTGTAAATTTGGGTCTGTGGTGTTAATTTGGTAAATTTGGTGTTAATTACTACTTTTTATGGAGCTTCTGCGTCCTTTTTGAGGCTTGACTGCTTATGTTGCATTCATTGTAACAGCATCGAGAAGCGTGAGCCGCACATTATTTAGATTTGTGTTCCACAGAAGAGAGTCAAATGTGTTTGGAACATGAGCAAGTAAATGATGACAGAACTAATCCTTTAAACCAATGAAACACACACACACCTTCTCCAAAAGCACTGTTTGATCAATCTGGAAACATAATGTTGATCCCCCCGGCTAATAATTACTGCTTTGCTTCCTCACTGCACAAATCAAGCTAATTACAGCACAGGCCCCGCTTTCCTTACACTTGAATTGCTTCTCTAACTTACTGCAGTGTGTACAAATATACAAGTATCTTCAAGCGTGATGGTAGAGACCCAGGAGGCCGAGCGAGTTTAATGATTCTACCTGTTATTTCTCAAATGAACTGCTTTGGAAATTGCAGCAGTGGACCTTATAATAAGCAAAATGTAGACGTGATAGGGATGGGGATGTATTCCACATTGTTCAAATCACATCTCGGCTGTTGTGTTTGTAAGAGGCAGGTTTTAAATGAGTTTTCTACTTTTTCCAAAACGAGCCCTTTCATGGCAGTTCACTGATCCGTCCAGCTGGTGCTGATGAGGTACCACAGGTGTCTTTAAATGAGCTCATATCACCTCTTCCCTCCCTCTCATCCATCATGTGACAGTGTATGGGGTTCAGAGGCTGTTGGGCCGCTGTCGGTGATCATTTAGAGGCAGATGTTCTTGAGGGCTTTATTGTGGTTTCCTCACATCGGTTATATTGTGTTTGTGTAGTATTCTTACTGCGTTATCTTCCATGCAGAATCAGATTAATTGGTTTTAGTCATGTGCACTGCAAGAATCTGCTAAAACAAAACAAGCTGCTTTTATAGGCTAGCAGTTTAATAAATAATTATTTATGTACAGCAGGATCCACAAGTCAAAGACCACTAGTGAGTGTTTATATTTCTCCCATTTATATTTTTCATTTATTTTTTTATCAATTAATATATCATTTACTTTTGTGATTGCTTTATTGTTATTGTTGTTATTGTTATTATTTTGTATTTTAAAATCCTAAGTCTAAGACCACTAATAAGAATGCTTCTGTTTCTGTTTATTAATCTATTTTTATGAAAGTATTTATAATTTATTATTATTTTATAATCCTATTTTATAATGTTGCTTCTATGTATTTATTTATAATGCTATATTTTTTTATTTTTGTGTTTATTTTATTTCTGTTCATATATTTATAATTTGGTTTATTTTTTGTTATTATTATTATTATTATTAAGATTTTAGTTATATATTTCAAAATCCTAAAAGTCAGTGCTTCTATTTTTAAAGTTTTTAATTTATTTTATTAATTATTTATAATTTATTATTATTGTAATTTTATTTATAATAGTCAAAATCCTAAAACACCACTAGTGAGAATACATCTATTTTTCTATTTATATTTTTAATTTTATTAATGTTTATGTTTTTGTGTGTGTGTTTAATTTATTATTTTAATTGTTTTTGTTTGTTTGTTTTTTTATTATATCTTTCAAAATCCTGAAATTGTATGTTTATTTTTACTTTTAAATTCACTTTTAAAGCCTGTTATGCTACAGTTTGCTGATGTTGTTATATTTCTGTTTCCTGCTGGGTAATATGTGTGTTTGTGCTTCCTGTGCTCATTTGCAGGTGATTACCCAGCTCCTCGTGCGGTTCTGACCGGTCATGACTATGAGGTTGTGTGTGTGTCAGTGTGTGCTGAGCTGGGAATTGTAATCAGTGGAGCAAAAGGTAAGTGAGAGAGGACCATTGTGGGATATGAAGTGAAGAGGCAGTGTGTGATTCCACAAGAGCGTCACTTATCAGACATGTCTGTTTGTCAGAGGGGCCATGTCTGGTCCACACCATCACTGGGGATCTTCTGAGGGCACTGGAGGGCTCTGACAGCTGTGTGCTTCCTCGCCTGATCTCAGTGTCCAGTGAAGGTCACTGCATCATCTACTATGACAGGGGTCAGTTCTGCAACTTCAGCATCAACGGCAAGCTGCTGGCCCAGATGGAGATCAACGACTCCACACGTGTATGTTCTGAACTCTTTACTTGGTCACACACATACTGGTCTGTTAGATTAGATTTCTATAGCAATGCTTAGTTTTCTAATAATGCTCTATGGCTGCAATTGCAAAACTGTTTGTTGAGTAAAAAGATGAATTCTTAAATTGAATTATAGTACATTTTTCACTTTTCAACATTATAAATGTTATATTTGTATTTGGTTGGTAAGATTTTATAATTTTTTTTTTTTTGTTAAGCCTCTTATGTTTGCCAAGGCTGCATTCATTTGATCAAAAATACAGTAAAATCAGTAGTATTGTGAAATATTATTTCTTCTTATTATCAATGTTGAAAACAGTTGTGCTGCTTAATATTTTTGTGGAAGTTGTGATTCTTTTTTCAGTATTTTTGTTGAATAGAAAGTTCCAAAGAACAGCATTTATTTGAAATACAAATCTTTTCTAATATTATAAATGTCTTTTTACTGTAATTATTAATTGGTTTAATGTGTCCTTGATGAATAAATGTATTACTTTCTTTCAAAAAAAATCAAAAATAAATACAAATTAATCGTGCCCCCAAACTTTTGAATGGTAGAGTAGGTTGCTAGTTACTAAAGTTTAGAAAAAGCTGTATTTCCTTCTCTTTTGTCAGGCCATCCTCCTGAGCAGTGATGGGCAAAATCTAGTGACTGGAGGAGATAACGGGGTGGTGGAGATCTGGCAGGCCTGTGACTTCAAGCAACTGTATGTCTACCCTGGCTGTGACGCCGGCATCCGAGCCATGGACCTGTCACATGATCAGAGGTCAAACTTTATAAACCTTATACAAAGTTTATACTTACACCACACAGAGACAAACTATACAAACAAATCCTAAACTGGTTTAAACCTGACTCTGTTTTCAATGTTTCCAGGACTCTGATCACAGGCATGGCGTCTGGCAGCATCGTGGCTTTCAACCTTGATTTTAATCGCTGGCACTTTGAGCATCAGAACAGGTACTGAGAGCGATCAGCCAGTGACGGCCAGCTGCAGCCTCGAACGGTAACGTGCCATTATGGGAGGTGATGTAGCAAATAAACATATGGAATATGGATCAAGAAATGACACAATGCTAGTTGGAGAAATCACAGCAGTTTAAGTGTGGTAACCTACTCTGAGATCCAGCTGCTTATATGTGTCTCAAAAAATGCACAGGAGCAGTTGACAGATGACAATTTCAAAATGAATGGAGAGAGCACAGATGGAGGCCAGTTTTTCATCACAAATTATTTTATCTAATTGTCATCTGAACCAACAATAGTCTTGTCAAAAACAGCCTTTTTACTCGTAGTCCCGTCATTTGAACTGTAATCGTGACACTTTGCATAGAGAACCAATAACAATATTTTTATGAGGTTTATTTTCTACTGGCTTGCAGCATATTTCACTTTCTCTAGGTTTTTTTTCTTTCGGCCCTCGGGAAAGAAAAGCCACCTGAACAATAAATAAGTAAAAGTCCTCCCTCTGCTGCTGAGCTCATGAATGTAAATGCTATACAACTTCTTTTAAACTTGTCTGTGAGGCTGCTTTCTGAACTATTCTGCAATTGAATTCTGTTTGTCCTGTTTATGCGTTTGACATCATCAAATGCTTTTTGATATGATTACAAAGAGAGAGAAAAAAGAAAAGCTCTTTTGTTTAATGTGACGTCCTGTAATGTTTGTTCACTCATCCTCCTCATGTGAGGATGAATGGTTTGTCTGTTGTGGATGTATTTCATTTCAGATATGTAATGTATGCACCATTAAAGACGAGCACTAAATGAGGGTTGGTGCTGATGCTGCATCTGGGCAAATATTGTAATTCTTGTGCAGTTTTATCATTTAAAGTCATACATGGCTTTACACAAACGTTGAGGTTTTTAGACTGGTATTTGCACCTATAACTGGTTTTTATTTTGAATATTTTCTCATTTGCATACACCAAGCTTTGTACATCTCAAAAAAAATTTTTGGTTTTCACATGGTCAGAATATTAGGATGAAGGGTGTGCGATAAATATTATTTGTTATATTCCTTTACTGTCTTAAATTGTCTACTGGCACCTTTCAGAATTGCACTTGTAAACAGAAAATAACATTGTAAAATCACTGCTGTAAGCAATACATTATGTATGATGTATGTGCATCTTTGATTCTCTTACATAATGTAAATCAAATTTATAACTCGGAGTTTATGAATCAAAAAATCTACACTATTTTTAATTGTTTTTGTGCAAATATGTGAAATATTCTGCTGTACGAAGCAAAAAAATTTTTTTTTGCCAATCCACACAATAAATATGGTGCCATACTTAACATTTTATTTACAAGAATAGATTTAGATTTGATATACTGAGCATTGGTTATTTGTAAAACCTTAAAAATGAGTTTACCTTAGTGTCATATGTTAAAATGCCTCAGATTTCAAATTTGATTATTGAAATCAAATTTGATTTGATTATTCGATGAGAATAGTTTCCATCAGGAACATTGACATTACAAGTGAAGGTGCCTGCTAATTCAGCAGATATGCTTTTAAGTTGGTTACGTTTTAGTTAAAACTGTTCAGTATGTCCTAGTGAATCATTGTGATGAGAGAAATGTATTTGCCTACTTTTTATTTATAATAAAAAATATCAAATGTACGGCATTGAGTACTGTTCCCTTGCATCAGTGCATACAAACACACTACATGTGCATTTGAGAACAGCAATACTTTCCGTCATTTAATCTGCTTGATTAGGACTTCTTTACATTCATGTGCCTCATAAGTTTTTTGGACAGTCACGGAAACACCGCACCTTGCCGTTTCAGCATATGAGGGGAAAATATCAAATGGTGACAGAAACAGGGAAACATGCATAACAATGAAAATCTCCTATACTAAATATCATTCTCAGTATATTGAAACTGACCTTAAAAAATAAAAACACTGGTTTCTGCTTGAGGAATCATTTATTCACAGGTTTGGCTTGTTGCTGAATGCACCACTGTTCAATGCTACTTGGAAGCAAAGACTCTTCCACCAGTAAGAAAGTCAAGCCTAAATGACATTTGATGGGAAAGACAATAGACAAGCGATGGATATACATCTATACAAATATACAATATGTAATCAATGCTTCTGCACTGAATTTTGCATATGAGCTAGAATATTTCCTATATTATAATGAATTGATCTACATCCGGTTGATCATGGATTGGGTTCTAGTCTAATTTTGACGAGCAAACACAGCAGATACATTTTTAATTAAAAAGCAAATACATGCTCATACTTTAAAGAACTACTCTTTTCGCCTTTGTGCTTTTCACCCCTTCATAGTGTCACCTGAAGCCTTTCATGCTGGAGGCTTCAATAAGCTGTATAACAATGTTAAATACTGAGAAGCACAAACAGTCTTCACTGAAACTAGTTGCTTGTACTGTAGATGGGGTCAACATGTCTTGATGGTAAAATGATTATCACTCACACTCAGATCACATGCAAGACAAACACACTCGGTCCTTTACAGTAAGTGTGCAAACTCCACAAAACACCACATAAAGGAATGAAAATGTACTGTATAAATAGATAAGACATTTGGAGTCCAGACATGGCCGAGCAACAGAAACTTAATAGCTAAGTTTTGTGTATATAATGCAGCTATAACTGCTATGCTGGGTCCCACTTTATTTTAGGGTATCTTTAACGTCATCCATCTTTAAGTACTTCTAGCTGAAAAATTATTGTTTGGTACAATGTACTTGTTGTGTTCATGTTCTATTGCAAAACACTTTTGCTGCTATTATGAATGAACTGCTTTAAAAAAAAGTACTTAGTTATGTTAGTTCATTAAAATAATAAAACCTACAATCCCTGCCGGTACCGAGACTCGAACCCACGACCTTCGGGTTACAGAATTGCCATTCAGCCATGGCTGCCCCCAGAATAAAACTCAGAATTGAGATATAAATTTGCAATTCTGAGAAAACAACAAGAATTGTGCAATTCCAAGCTTATCTCACAATTCTGATTTTGTTTTCCACATTTCCAAGTTTACATATCTCAATTCTGCATTTATCTCACAATTCTAACTTTTTCCCCAAAATTCTGAGTATATATCTTACAATTCCGAATTCCGAACACAACTCAGAATTTCGAGAAAAAAGTCAGAAATGTGAGATGAAAAGTTTTTTGTTTTTTTTTAATATAATTATTTTTTTTTTAATCCATATATATGGTGGAAACGAGCATCATTCTGTTGTCATATTTGGCCATCGTGTGACAAAAACAACACCATACATTAAAATTAAAATTGACAAAAATTCTGTCTAAAATATTACATTCCACTTAGAAAAGACAAATATGTAAAATTTTTGTCCAAATGTACTCTTTAAAATCAGTAGTGGACATTTAGTGTGTATACTTTTTAAAATAAAACTCTAATCGTACATACTGTTCTGAAAATTAACACTTGCTCTGAGAAGGAATTCAAATTCTAGGAAGTAGCTGTACGATCTTCATGGCAAATAGTAGTTGACAGAACTGAATTTACAGCTGAAGAGATTATTATAGCAGCAGCAAGAACTGAAAAGTTTCTAATCATTGAACGTCATACGTGTTAAATAAGCACCCATCACTTCAAACAGTTCAAACAAGCCACATACATCAAAAAGAGCTTCAGCTATTCAGGCATTTTACACATTTTATGCTTCTGCACTGAATTTTGCATATGAGCTAGAATATTTCCTATATTATAATGAATTGATCTACATCCGGTTGATCATGGATTGGGTTCTAGTCTAATTTTGACGAGCAAACACAGCAGATACATTTTTAATTAAAAAGCAAATACATGCTCATACTTTAAAGAACTACTCTTTTCGCCTTTGTGCTTTTCACCCCTTCATAGTGTCACCTGAAGCCTTTCATGCTGGAGGCTTCAATAAGCTGTATAACAATGTTAAATACTGAGAAGCACAAACAGTCTTCACTGAAACTAGTTGCTTGTACTGTAGATGGGGTCAACATGTCTTGATGGTAAAATGATTATCACTCACACTCAGATCACATGCAAGACAAACACACTCGGTCCTTTACAGTAAGTGTGCAAACTCCACAAAACACCACATAAAGGAATGAAAATGTACTGTATAAATAGATAAGACATTTGGAGTCCAGACATGGCCGAGCAACAGAAACTTAATAGCTAAGTTTTGTGTATATAATGCAGCTATAACTGCTATGCTGGGTCCCACTTTATTTTAGGGTATCTTTAACGTCATCCATCTTTAAGTACTTCTAGCTGAAAAATTATTGTTTGGTACAATGTACTTGTTGTGTTCATGTTCTATTGCAAAACACTTTTGCTGCTATTATGAATGAACTGCTTTAAAAAAAAGTACTTAGTTATGTTAGTTCATTAAAATAATAAAACCTACAATCCCTGCCGGTACCGAGACTCGAACCCACGACCTTCGGGTTACAGAATTGCCATTCAGCCATGGCTGCCCCCAGAATAAAACTCAGAATTGAGATATAAATTTGCAATTCTGAGAAAACAACAAGAATTGTGCCTTATCTCACTTATCTCACAATTCTGATTTTGTTTTCCACATTTCCAAGTTTACATATCTCAATTCTGCACAATTCTAACAATTCTAACTTTTTCCCCAAAATTCTGAGTATATATCTTACAATTCCGAATTCCGAACACAACTCAGAATTTCGAGAAAAAAGTCAGTGAAATTAAAAGTTTTTTTTTTTTTTTTAATATAATTATTTTTTTTTTAATCCATATATATGGTGGAAACGAGCATCATTCTGTTGTCATATTTGGCCATCGTGTGACAAAAACAACACCATACATTAAAATTAAAATTGACAAAAATTCTGTCTAAAATATTACATTCCACTTAGAAAAGACAAATATGTAAAATTTTTGTCCAAATGTACTCTTTAAAATCAGTAGTGGACATTTAGTGTGTATACTTTTTAAAATAAAACTCTAATCGTACATACTGTTCTGAAAATTAACACTTGCTCTGAGAAGGAATTCAAATTCTAGGAAGTAGCTGTACGATCTTCATGGCAAATAGTAGTTGACAGAACTGAATTTACAGCTGAAGAGATTATTATAGCAGCAGCAAGAACTGAAAAGTTTCTAATCATTGAACGTCATACGTGTTAAATAAGCACCCATCACTTCAAACAGTTCAAACAAGCCACATACATCAAAAAGAGCTTCAGCTATTCAGGCATTTTACACATTTTAGAAAGAACATTCTAATGTCTAACCAACAGTCAGAAAACACGTTTCTCAAAGAAAATAAGGCTGAAATACGCAAACATAAGTTATCAGTTTGAAATAAATGTTCAAACCTAAAATATTTAAAATATATAAAGTTCATACAAAAGATAAAAAACTCACGTAAAAGATTTTGTCACTGAAAGAAAAGATGTTAAGACATTGCAGGTTTATTATAAGTATTAAACACACGATCATGTGTGTGTGATAACTAGAAACAGAGCGGGAGGTTTGGCTGCAATACTTTCTATCAAGAGTAGGATGGTCTTCAAACAAAACCTCATATAGCACCAAATGGTAGTTATCAAGAGAAAACTCTTAAACAATGACAAGGGCTTCTCAATTCGGATGAAAAACTGTTAAGAGAGTGAGATTATTTTTACACCTGTTCAGGTGTGCTACCCTCACAGAATTTGAACAAAGAAAACCAGCCCATCCAGTCCTAGTTAACCACATCTGCTCCACCACGTAACAAACATTAATTTTCAAAAACTGTCATCTTTTGCTATACACAAGCCGATTTACCTTTTCTTTCTAGATCATTTTCCATTGATTCCTGTGCTTAAAATGGTGATGTGGGTGAGCGGACGGTTTCGGCCGAGCTGGGGGAAATATCCTCTGACTCGGAGGTGAACTCTGCTGGAGAGAGGGTCGGGCCGGTGGCGGGGCTGGAGGGGAAGGTGCTCTGGGTGCTTCGGGGAGCAGCCGCTTTCACATCCTGGTGGCGTCTTCGTCTGAAAACCTGCCTCTCCTTATCAAGAGGGGTGGTCTGAGGAACACGAGAGCATGGGACAGTGAATGACTGCTCAGGAATGAATGCCACTAGACAATAACACAGAGCAAAGAAAGGGAAAAGTGAAGCACTGACAATCAGAATTTAGCAAAGCACCACCAGAAA